CTCGGCGCGCAGCGGCCAGGTTTCTGATCCATATAGTAATATGGAGCGCACCGCAGCATTGTAAACTCGACCCTTGACAGAGAAGCTGATGTCACGCCTACGCCACAGGTGACGTAGGTTCGCAAAAGCTGCTCTGGCCTTCCCAATCAGGATGGAAATTTCATCTTTCGCGAGACCACCGGGACTGATACAGCTGCCCAGGTAAACAAATTTGTCTACTACCACAATCGGTTCATCCGCAAGCATGCTGCGTCAGCTACCACTCATGAAAATACCGTTTTGTATGGAAATCTCGGTCTCTATGCTCATCCCGTTGCATAAAGGGTGCTCTGAGAGGAAAACTGGTGAAGCCAAATGGCTTTTCTACAAACTGGCTTATCAATACTGAATAGAAGACAATCAACACTTAATTATGGTCGCCTGTGTTACACTGCCGAGGACCGATAAGACTGTCAGACATTTCGGTGTTTTCTGGGTGTGTTACTATCTTGCCCGCCAGTTCATTGGTGAATTTCGTGGAATTGAAGCAAAGCGCTTTCTTAAACGAGGAGTGGTGTTTTTGTAACCATTTATATGGAGCGTCTGAGTAATAAGCGCAACTGCACAGCTATGATACCACGAAAACACTGCTCAATTTGCGGATCGATTGTTTTCACAAACAGTCGAATAGTGAAGCAAGCGATTGGTTGAGACATTTCGTGTTTAATCACGTTTCCCCCAAGACGGAATCACTTGCAATGAAGACATTTTAGGTCATCCCTATGAATGCGTTCACTTAAGGTGAACAAATGAACCTAACGAGCGACTTTAATGAAATTGCGTTAAAGGAAAGCCAAGATAGTAACACCTCGCGTTCTCTACAGTCATTTCAAAGAAGAGGATGGACGTCAACTGACTTAGTCTGCTTGTCCCGATTCGAGTTATGTACAAATACAGACTCAGTCCACGGTTTCCAAACAGCCGCGTCTAAATCGAAGAGTCTGATGTGCACTAAACAAGACTGGGAAAAATAGTTTTAGGCCAATGAATTAAGGAGAACGTGTGTGTGGGCATGGTGAAGATCATTTTTCGGCGGCAATCAAACCCACATCTCCTTGGGCGATCTTCCAACTTAATAGGTAGCTTCCTCAGCGTTCAATTATATTTCATCTCCGAATTCATAATATAGAGGTCTTTGCTCCTACCCCTACCTCATACTGGTTTCCTGATGACTGTAATGGCCTGACCTGACCCGATATTTAATTTGTGTTCATCCTTCCACTCTTATCTGTTTACCGTTATTAATTAGGGGTATCCCCCCACCTTTACCTGTATGCCGTCTAAAATTGACATCGAGTAGTAGGGCTACCAAGTATAGTATGTGGAATAAATCGAAGCCATTTCGAGTGTGGAGTAATACCTGGAAATTATCGTGCGTGCCTCGTTGCACGCGTACGCAACAAAATGATGCAGGGAAGACGAACTACTGTTATGACGGTCAGTAACCAGTTGCAATTGTGTGTTAATGTGGGTGAATTATACTGAGTCCAAAATCTCGCTATTTGGTGCCAAGGACCTAGTTCAAAAGAGTCAGTGAGTTCGGTTAACATTGTCTGTGCTGTATAGCACGAGGTGTTAGCCTTATGATTATCGATTTTAGTGGTACTGATAAGAAGTTCAGCGTCTTTTTAAAACCAGCTATCATTTGTCAGAAAATAATTGACACTAAGAGGATATGGCTTCATCAATGGGTCTTAACTTTACCCAGCATCAAATCTATGAGCTATTTTACAAAAAGAAAACCGAAATGTGAAATTATCGCAATATTAATTAAACGTGGATAAAGAGGAATATTGGTTCGTTCGGAACTGTATTAGCGACCGTAGCTTCTCTAAACCTTTCAGAGTTAGTACTAAAACTTCGAAATTCAGTGAGCACGTACCCACATAATGTGGATTCTTTGGGTGGAGGACGAGTAAATCCTGTCTAACTGCGAGTGCGTCATACTAGTGATCATCCACTTGAGGTCGGACGGTTATGAATTTAAACAACTAGCCTGAAGATTGCTGGAGTTTCGTGAGATACGAACTGTTGATGATTTTATATAAGGATGAATCAGTGTTTCTCTGAGCTTTTTAGCATAGACTGACTGAAACTTTCAAAATCAAATGTCGCAATCCAATGACTATGCTACCTGCGGGAAACCAAACGTCGGACTACGACCTCTTATTCCACAACGCTTTGTTTTTACGCTAAAAGTTCTCTTATTGTGAGCCACGTGGAGCTGGATTCGGTCCCCAAACCTCATAGAATGACTTTACTTTTAGGGCAAAATATCCACCAAAAGACTTCGCTTTGCCTGTAGAACGCTTTCAGCATTCAGATTGCCGGCCTAAATCAAATCACAGTACTTATTTATCAAATTTCATCTTAAGCACTAACATGCGGGGTAACCCCCCTGGAGTAAATAGTTACAAAAACCCAAAAAATTTCTGCTTACTCATGATGGGCAGAAAAATCTGAGATGATATAAAACCGTTCCATATTAGGTGAGATACTGCGCAGACCATCCGTACGACAATCTGAGAAAACTGTACTTTGGAACTAAAGAACGGATGGAATAGAGAGTAATATTTGGAACAGGACTAATAAAGTTAACTGTAGACAGCTGCATCGTTGTATCCGTAGTCTTAGTCATTATCTCACAGAAGTTACTTCTGTACCGATCTGATCGGTTAAAGGTCATGACACTCTTAGGATCAGGGACTTTCTTCGTTTTGTGTATAATGACTGGAAGGAGACCCCGAGAAGGGTTGGAGACGTGACCCAGTCACGCCCTCAGTGGCGCTCCTGCATCCAAGCTACTGCCTTCAATTCAAAGCTCCCTTCCCAATTCTTCCGCCTGACAGCCCACTGACAGTGCCGTATTTACGCAGCAATTGAGCACCTCCCGTCTCCAGCGCGCAGCTATCTACCCCTCCTCCCCAAATCATCGGTGAGCGAAACTGTGACAGCTGTAACCACTGTACGACAAGTACGCGGTTCTTACAACAGGCAATGATGATGATGATGATGATTTGGATGATGAATGCATGAGGCAACAATGATCTCGCTTTTTAACTTCACTGGAAGAAAAGTGATCCACTAAGTAGGTTCTCGTAAAGCGTACTTTCAGAGGTCTTGACTTTATCAGCTGTGCAGATGAAGGATACATCCCTCAAATATCTCTTTTAATGCGTAAATGCGTTTGTTTGAACTGAGTGTTTAGGTTGCTTGGATTTATATAACTTGACTATATCCCTTAATCACGGGTCTTTCCGGGATGGTCTCAGTCAATTGGGAAGAATACGGAAGCAGGGCAACTAAGCACCGCTAGGACTCCAACTACAATAATACCCAAACGCTTTGTGATGGCTGATCTCAAGCAAGACCTACATGGCATGACTCCTCGGAATGCACATGTTAGCAAGTTGGTTAACACAGGTGGATTTGTTGTTTTAATCAGAGACTCGCACTTCGTGAGAACTGCCGCGGGTAGCTGCTAGATCTGTACAAATCACGATCCAGTTGTTGTTCCAGGAATGGGTGCCGAATATCAGGCTGTTTTTCAAAATGGACTGTTTTTGTCGCTCACAAAATTTAGGAACCACTTGCCTGAAACATTTAATCCAATTTGAGTTGGGAACCTAACTAAGATCCTCCAAACTCTGAAGAAGCCTGCACTGGGAAAGGCTGCTGAGTAAACTGCTTGAACTGGATCACGAATGTGTGCTTCGACATATTACCCCTCGAATGAACTTGCTAAGACAAGGTATAGAACTGTTTGCAATCATACAGGCAACCACAGAGCTCACATCACGTGGTCACGTGTTGACTGGCTCCTCTCTAAGTGCGGGTTAATCATATGGCTAATCAGCTGCTCCTGTCCGGATAGTTAAGTGTTCAAAACACCATCCAGTAAGTCACTGGTTTGGAATTTCCTGGAGTTTAGTGCTGATGATTCCCAAAATGGATGAAGCAACTGTACAGTGATTCTCAGCTTTCAGGCATACATTGGCTTCACTCACAGGACAGAATCTCACTTGAAGAGGACCAATGCTAAACGGCGTAATCCGTCTACGTTTCAACGCTCTGGTTGGTCTTAAAAGTTGACCTTCGCAGAGATTTTTGTCTTTGCTATGATCATTAGTGTACTATTTGACAAGTTTGAATATCAACTAAGAAAAGCAGGTAGGATTGAAGCAGGTGCAACACACAACAACCAGTGGGACAAATGGCTGTTTTGTACCGTGTGGCTACGTGACGATATGAAAACAATCGGACAAGTGAATGAAGGAGAGATAGTGTGGAATAAAGGAATGACACCTGAGAACTTTGTTTTGAAGTGAGTGGAAAAGAAAGGCCATGACATTAGTGTATCAAGAATAGATCTCACATCATGGAGGTGTTTGTTCATGATCGAACAAACATTTTCTAATTTCGAAAGCGTGTCTAACAAACAAGTAGTTCCAGTAGTGTATCACGCCATAATTTTCATAGTTTTGCGTCATTGCTCCGCTGTTTGGCAGATCATCAGACAAACGATCTAACCTGGTATGGTACTCTTGAGAGAACAAAAACAAAACAGAACCGGCTTTGTTTCAGGGGGGTTGCTAAACGGTGACCATCCAGTCGGTCCCAAACACTTCCCATTGATTGAGAACCGGCTCTGTTTTAGAAGTAAAGATCAGTATTTATGTTGACAAAACCGTGGAACTAAACACTACATGCGTCATCAAGTCATAAAACAACCTGTGGAATTCAAAATACTTTTCTGTGTTAATTGTGGTTGAAATTAGAACGTGAAGGAATGGGACGAATGGAATGTTGATCCGTGAGTTGACCTTTTGAAAAGAAGCGGCGCAATGGATATCCAGACGGATCAGAATCCACACCGTTTGGTTACACACTGGAGTTGATTTGTCGAAACGTTTAGTGTCCAACGCGTCATGTATTGGATGAACCAGAATTCTGATTCTGTAAAAATAACAGCTGGGATCAAGGGCACTGATTGCATGGTGAGGGGTTTAGACACGGGTGTTGGACGGATATTGGGTTAGGAATGGAAACGCGGCAAAGAAGTCGTAATACAGCGAGTAGGTACATTTTTCAGTACTTAGCAGCTGCTCATAGTGTTCCAATAGAGAGGTTACCCTCCTGATACTCCGGATGCTCGATCGTCGAAGCCGCGCGAATTAGTTCGCACACAGAAAGGATTGAGTCTTGTTAACCAGCCGG